AGCGCACTAAGTGCACTTTTTTGTGTTGGTTTTGCACTAGCACGTTTTTGTTCACTTACGGGTTTTCGTTTTTCGCACTTCCGCGGACTTTAAAAAAAAAAAATAAATTTACACGTATTGGGATTTTTTTTTTAACAAAGACATGTCGCAGAATACATTTTGGCCTAAATTTATGACGAAATTTGATTTTTAGATTTTTTTTTACTGGACATGTTTTATAGCAAAAAGTCCAAAATATTATTTTTTTCTCAAAATTGTCAGTCCTTTTTTATATTTTTTCCTTTTTTTATAGCGCAAAAAATAAGAAACGCATGGACGATCAAATACCACTGAAGAAAAGCTCAATTCATGGGGAAAAAAAGGACGTAAATTCATTTGGGTGCAGCATTGCACGACCACACAATTGTTAGTTAAATTTATGCAGCGCCATAACGCAAACCGCTTCTGTAACCGCTTCCTGACCGCCCTATAGCAGAAATACAGGTGCGCAAAATCATGTGTATATATATGTGATTCGCACTCCCGTGGTTTTCACGCCCCCCCCCCAGATAGTGTCAGATTGCCTGTCAGTACACCAGTAATCACATTTAACCAATTGATTGCCAGGAGCACGCTCATAGACAACCTCCATTGCTAGTATAGTGTCTGAACGGATCAATATCTTTGATCAGGTTAGCACTAGACCAGCGTTCACATTAGTATAGTGTCCCCAAAAATGCAGCGTTAGCGGGATCAGCCCCAGCACCTGCCAGCACCTGCGTTTAGCCCCTACGCTTACCCCCCCCCTTCTCCCCCAGCAAGTGCAGTGTTAGTAGGTCACTGTCACTTGATATATTGCACACAAAACCGCAGTGTTCGCAGAATCAGCACCCGTACTTCTCCCATTCAATGCCCAACTCAGGTGAAAACAGCAAATTTAACCACTCCCCTTGATTTTGTGGAGCTGTTTTTCACAGAAGATTTGTATGCATTGATTGTGGATCAAAGCAATTTATATGCACAACAATTTATCACCGCCAACCCAAATTCAAACCTTGCCAGACCATTTGCATGGAAACCCATTACGGTTTCCAAATTAAAATTTTTATTGGGCTTAACCCTTAACGTGGGCATTACTAAAAAAAATTAATTGCGGTTGTATTGGTCCACAGACCCGATTCATCATATGCCCGTGTTTTCTGCTGCCATGGCCAGGCATAGATATGAGAGTATAATGTGTTTTATGCATTTCAACGACAATACACTCTGTCGTCCTCAGAGTGACCCTGAATTTGACCGGCTTCACAAAATTCAACCCCTCGCAAATCACCTTAACCAAAAATTTCAAAAAATCTACGTTGATGAGTCCCTTATTAATTTTTCTGCCCGCCTTCCATTCAAACAATTTCTTCCCAGCAAGCGTGCCAGATATGGGGTCAAGATGTATAAGACCTGTGATAGGGCAACAGGCTATACATATAAGTTTTGGATTTACAAAGGAAAAGATAGTCATGTGGAGCCCCCCAGATGCCCAGAATACATGGGGAGCAGTGGCAGGATAGTTTGGGACTTGGTGTCATTCTTTTTCCATATGTGGTACCACATATACATGGACAATTTTTATTCATGCGAGCCACTATCTAGACATTTGTACAATCTTGGAATTGGCACATGTGGCACCATGTGACCTAATGTGTGCCCACCATTAGAAGTGGGTGGATGCAGGGCGGTATATTCTAATGGTGGGCATACCACACACTTATTCTGGCAGAGATTTCTTCTCTTTTTTTCATTCAGCCCACAGGCTGAATACAAATAAAAATACATAGCATATATACCCAACAAGGACCAGCGACATATTGATATATCAATGGACTTTGAATGGTTATACCAGGATGATCCCTACAGCTGCAGGCATCATCCTGGTACCTTTTTTTTTCAGCCGGCAATGAACTTTCATGTAAAACAATCCTAGTGGTTAGCTGCAGCATTGCTTTTACAAGCAGCGGGAGAAGATGCTCCCCTGCTGCCTTCCACGGCCTTCTCGGGCAGTCCCATACCATCGGGGGAACCTGAGAATGCAGCTGGTGTTTCTGCAAGATGACCTTAGAGCTGATTGGAGACCGGAATGGTGCCAATCATCTTTATAGTCTAAGAAATCGGAAGCTACGAGCATTTCATCACTTCAGTTTCGCAGGATATAAACCACACCATTTGTAAATTGGGAAAGCATCTGATCACACCGATCTTGGTGAGATTAGATAATGTAAGGGCAGAGGAGAGATCTAGTCTGATAGACCCCAGATTTCTCAAAAAAGAATATATGATCATGTCCATTTGCATTCCCTATGACAGCATTAAAGGTGATCAAAGAAAAAAAAACATGAAAGGGACAGTGTAAAAATAATTTACGAAATCAAAATAACTTATTAAAAAAAAAAAGCACCCTCGTCCGACCCCCCCCCCCCCCCCCATATGTGCGCGCGTGCGTGAACGTTGACTCTGTGTCGGTATGTAAACACCATGCATGTGAGGTATCGCCACGAACATCAGATCAAGGGCAGTAACACTAGACCTCCTCTGTAAATCTAAAATAGTAGCTTGTAAATGCTTTTAAAACATTGCCTATGGATATTAAAAATGTATGCAGTTTGTTGCCATTACACAGGGCATGCGTAGTTTGAAAGCATGTCATGTTTGGTATCTATTTACTCAGCATACCATCATTTTTTATATGTTACCAAATAATTGGCCAATATATTGTGTTTCTGTGCATTAAAATTTAAAAAAACAAATTATTTTTTGCAAAAAAAATTTGCGTTTGAAAAATCGCTGCGCGGGTACTATGTGACATAAAAAATTGCAGCACCCACCATTTTATTCACTAGGCTGTCTGCTTTAAAAAAAATATATAATGTTTGCGGGTTCAACGTATTTCCTAGCTAAAAATAAAGATTTTTTTCCATGTGAACAAGAAGTGTCAGAAAAGGCTTGGTCTTCAGGTTAGAAGGGTGAATGATGTGTAGCATAAACTTCTAATGCTGGGCATAAAATTCCCCCTCCCCCCAAAATGACCCCTTTTTGGAAAGTAGACACCCTAAACTATTTGCTGAGAGGCATGTTGAGTTAATAGAAGAATTTATTTTTTTACAAGTTTTTGGAAAATGACAAAAAAAAAAAATCTTGGGGGAAAAAAAATCTTCCATGGACTCAATATGGATGTTTGTACTGTCCTGGTATTTTAGCACCTCAAAAAATGTGATGAGCAGTCAAAGTAAAAGCTGTGTAAATTCCATTGTCTATACCAGCAATGGGCAAACTACGGCCCGTGGGCCGTATACGGCCGGCGGACCTTTTAATCTGGCCCGCGGAGCTAGGCTCCCGCTAGGCTCCTCTCACAGTCCGCCCTGAAGACCGGTGGAGCATGAAAATCTGTCTCCTATGAGAATCTGTCCCCCTCGACGTATCTGCGCATGTGCTGGAGATCGCCGATCGGCTGCTAATGCCTGAAACTGGCACATGCGCAGATACGTTGAGGGGGACATCCTCATAGGAGACAGATTTTCATGCTACACCGGAACGGCGAGAGGACTGCGCGGAGCAAAGGTAAGTGAATTGACACGGGGGACTTGGGGACTTAATATGGGGGATGAATTACTATAGGGGGATGAATTACTATATGGGAGGGATGAATTACTATATGGGGGGATGAATTACTATATGGGGGGATGAATTACTATATGGGGGATGAATTACTATGGGGGATGAATTACTACATGGGGGATGAATTACTATGGGGGATGAATTACTATATGGGGGATGAATTACTATATGGGGGATGAATTACTATATGGGGGATGAATTACTATGGGGGATGAATTACTATGGGGGACGAATTACTATATGGGGGATGAATTACTATGGGGGATGAATTACTATGGGGGATGAATTACTATGGGGGATTAATTACTATATGGGGGATGAATTACTATGGGGGATGAATTACTATATGGGGGATTAATTACTATGCTTACTATGGGGGAATATTACTATACTTACTATGGATGACACATACACATCATTCATCTACTCTTGGTCCGGCCCCCGGGTCCAATATATGAACCCATTGCGGCCCTCAAGTCAAAAAGTTTGCCCACCCCTGGTCTATACCATAGTTTGTATAGACAAGTGGAATGTTATGCAATGGCCAAGTCAATCACCTGACCTGAATCCGATTTGAGCATGCATTTCACTTGCTGAATACATAACTGAAGGGAAAATGTCCCAAGAACAAGCAGGAACTGAAGAAAGTTGCAGTAGAGGCCTGGTATAGCATCACCAGGGATGAAATCCAGAGTCTGGTGATGTCTATGCATTCCAGACTTCAGGCTGTAATTGACTGCAAAGGATTTGCAACCAAGTATTAAAAAGTGAAAGTTAGATTTATGATTATTAGTCTGTCCCATTACTTTTGGTCCCTTAACAAGTGGGAGGCACATATGCAAACTGTTGTAATTCCTACACCGTTCACCTGATTTGGATGTAAATACCCTCAAATTAAAGCTGACAGTCTGCAGTTAACTACCTGCCGACCGCAGATAGCCGAATGACGGTTGCACTGCGGCCGGCCAGTTCTGGGTGGACGTCATATGACGTCCTCCCAGAACGCGCTCTCGGGCGCGCACCCGGCGATCTCCGAGATCGCTGTGTCCTATGGACACAGCTGATCACGTGACGTGGTAAAAGGACAATCACAGCGGCCTTTTACCACGTGATCAGCCGTGTCCAATGACACGCTGATCACCGGGAAATGCAAATGCTGGTTCTCGGCTGCACTTTCCTCACGCTGTCAGAACGTGAGGAAAGTGCTGCCGAAAACCGGCAGTTGTCAGAGCGGGGATCGGCACCGATCATCAGGATCACTGATCATTAGTGCCCTGATGATCGGTGCCCAGCAGTGCCACACACAAGTTCTGCCCACCTGTGCCCAGCAGTGCGCTCACCTGTGCCCAGCAATGCACCCACCTGTGCCCAGCAGTGCCACCCACCTGTGCCCAGTGCCACCCACCTGTGCCCACCCACCTGTGCCCACCAGTGCCACCCACCTGTGCCCCCACCACCCACCTGTGCCACCCACCCACCTGTGCCCACCAGTGCCACCCACCTGTGCCCACCAGTTCCACCCACCTGTGCCCACCAGTGCCACCCACCTGTGCCCACCAGTTCCACCTGTGCCCACCAGTGCCACCCATCAGTGCAGCCCAGCAGTGCTGCCAGTCAGTGCCACCAGTCAGTGCCCAGCGGTTGTGCCAGTCAGTGCCGCGAGTCAGTGCCCAGCAGTGATGTCAGTGCCACCTATCAGTGCTGTCTATCAGTACCCATTATCAGTGTCACCTATCAGTGCCACCAATCAGTGCCACCAATCAGTGCCGCATATCAGTGCCACCTATCCGTGACACCTCATTAGTGCTGCCTATCAGTGCAGCCTATCCGTGCCACCTCATTAGTGCTGCCTATCAGTGCCGCCTATCAGTGCCCTTCAGTGCTGCCTATCAGTGCCGCCTATCAGTGCCCATCAGTGCTGCCTCATCAACGCACATCAGTGAAGGAGAAAAATTACCTGTTTGAAAAATTTTATAATAGAAACAAATTTTCAAAACAAATTTTCAAATTTGTTTGCACTTTTTTTGCTTATAGCACAAAAAGTAAAGTGCCCAGCAGCGATTAAATACCACCAAAAGAAAGCTCTATATTTGTGAGAAAAAAATGATAAAAATTTCATATGGGTACAATCTTGCATGACCGCGCAATTGTCATTCAAAGTGCGACAGCGCTGAAAGCTGAAAATTGGCTTGGTACATAAGGGGGTATAAGTGCCCGGTAGGCAAGTGGTTAAAGCACATCTTGTTAGTTTAGTTTCAAATCCATTGTGGTAGCGCATAGAGCCAAATATGTTAGAATTGTGTTGATGTCCCAGAATTTATGGACCTGACTGTATACCATAGTTTGTATACACTATAACTTTCACACAAACCAATCAATATATACTTATTGGGATTTTTTTTTACCAAAATCATGTAGCAGAATACATTTTGGCCTAAATTATGACTAACTTTGAGTTTACTATATATTTTTTTATAGCTGAAAGTAAAACATATAATTTTCTTTTTTGTTTTTTAATTTACAGTGTGAAAAATAAAAAGTGCACAGGTGATCAAATACCACCAAAAGAAAGCTCTATTTGTGTGAAAATAAGGACGTAAATTTTGTTTGGGACAGCATTGCAGGACTACACAATTATCAGTTGAAATAGTGCAGCGCCGAATAGCAAAAAGAGGCCTTGTCAGGAAGGAGGGTAAATCCTCAGGATGGCAAATGGTTAAATTATTTTTTTTTCCTCATTAAGCTACACTCCGTACCCCATAATAACAAAGTTAAAGCAGAATTTTAGAAATGTCTGTGAATTTATTAAAAAGAAAAAACTGAAATATCACATGTATTTAAGTATTCGGACCCTTTTCAACAACACTTGAAATTTAGCTCAGGCGCCTCCCATTTCTCTTGATAGTTGCTGAGATGTTTCTACACATTGATTGGAGTCCACCTGTGGTACATTAAACTGGGTGGACATGATTGGGAAAGGCACACATCTCTAACTCACAACTGGCAATGTAAACTGTTTCAGTGTAAAAGCCATGAGTTCAAAAGAACTGCCTGCAGAGCTCAGAGACAGGATTATTGCAAGGCAGAGACCTTGGGGAAGGCTACAAAAAAATTCTGCTGCACATGCACTGGAGGTGTTCAAGGTGTTCAAGAGCAAAGTAGCCACATTTATGCCAATGTGATATTTCAGTTTTTCCTTTTTCATACATTTACAAACATGTTTACAATTCTGTTTTCACTTTGTCATTATGGAATACTAAGTGCAGATTGAGAGAACAATTAATTTATACAACTGTAGTATCCGGCTGCAACATAAAATTTAAATAAGTGAAGGGGGTCTGAATACTTATGAATGCAATATAGTGGGTGGTGTGTACAGTATCGTTCTTTCCTACACATGAGGATCTCCAGGGTTTATGACTGATGCGGAGCAAGCAAACTTCTCAGAATCCTTAGTTCTGTTGTAGGTATTGTATTCATCGTAAAATCCTTTACTTGACGTACATTGAAAGAGACAGATCCCAAGATCCTACCCCTTCCTTTTTATGATGATGGTATTGTAACTGCTTTGCTACAAAACTGAAGCATGCTGATTGTGAGCATAGTTATCCTGTGCCAGCTAAATTGTTTTGTGTTGCCAGTGACTGTTACTCCCGTAGGCGACAACATAACCCTTACATTTAATACTTCCTGTGTCCATCAATGGACTCCAAGAAAAGGATTACAGTAAGTACAAAAGTTCTTTTTTACTTTCATGTCCATTTAGAGACACAGTCTTAAACCTTCAAAAGCAGCCCAACTGAGGGGTGGGCAACACAGCAAAACAAACAGGCAAAGAAAACAATGGAGCATTGAAGAACCTTACACCCACAGTTGGCATCAGATGAGTATTCAACATACACCTGGTTGAAGCCCAGGTGGAAGCCTTGCAAACTTTGGAAAAAAATGTTTTGTTTTAATTTATGAACAGCAGTATTTTGTCATTTTTTTAGTCTCTGACCTACATAATGTAGGTTTTTCTCAAGCTGAAAGTACAGTATTGCTCAGTATTGTTTTTAAATGCAACACCTGGAAGCAAATCTGCCCAGATAGTATATGCCACAGTCTTGCCAAACCTTCACGTTTGCTAGGTACTATAGTATTTTAGTTACATCTATCCATCTTACCTGCTAGGAGCGTCTGAATTAATAATCACTAATAAAGCATCATCTTCCAGAGTCTCCTAAGTACACGTCTTTGTGTACAGTAATAGTTGTATCACTTTTTTGATCAAAGATTGTTCTCAGCAGCAGACACAGAATTTTTGGCGCTTTTCCCAGAAACTTAATCTTGGCAAGAAAACTTAAATATTCGAATAATGGATAGAGAGACTGAAAGACACTCAGGGAAGCCCAAAGGGTATTTAAAGTTTATCTGAACAAAGCAGTTGCAGTTTGCTGTTATAAAACCTTTCTCTTAATAAATAAACAATAATATATATTTTTATTTCTATGAGTGGAATATTTCGAGATTTAAAGTGAACCTATACTCAAACATTGAAGATTTGCTATTTTACCAGAAACGTGTAGATATGTCCATTGTGCTTGAATAGTACCCAGCAGAATCTCCCCTTTTTCTTAAGTTCCTCCTAAATGGCTAAAAGTAGCAACAAATATCCAACTCATTCAGAGTTACAAAAAACAGCTGTGTGGGGTGACAAAACATCAAGAGAAATGCTGTGTGTTGTCAACGCAAAGCAGGACTTGCTGAGTGCTTTCTGGCAGATCAACATGTATTTTTTTTCTGCACGTGCAGCCTTTAAGGGGATAAAACCTGGGGAAACATGCATGTAATGCAGAGATCTGCGGCTTCCTTTTTTTTCCTTTTTGTTTTTTTTTTGTTGTCTTGACATACTTGGTTAGAGCAGTTGTGTTTGTCCTAGTGACTACACATGATTCTTAAGGATCCTGTCAGATTTTTAGACCATATTGCACAAAAAATGCCCTGCAACACACTGAAATTACATGTACAGTTATGCACATTTGTATTCATTTTTGTGCACACACTGAAGAAAACAAATGGCTCCATTCCCCTATCAACACAGTCAGTGTTGATGGGGGAATCCCTCCTGCTGTGCTATTGTAGTTTGTATTCAGAGGGAGGGGAAACCTCATGCTGTCAATGATATAGCCACAGGCAGAGTTAAAATGAAAAAAAAAAAACAAAACAGGCTGGTTGTACTGATTGATAGCCCTGCCATACATAGACACCACTGTGGTGTGACCAAGGCCCATAGAAAACCATTGTTTTCTGTGTGCCTTTTCAGTGACCTGCATTTGTCCAGTGCAGAAAAATGCAGGTCACTGGACATGGCTTAAATGATAAAAACAGGAGGCGCACAAATGAAATCCCCATCACATTATAAAATAAAAGGGTACAGTTTCACTGTACTGTGTGAACTTTAAAATATTACCAGACTTGTTTGTAGTAATAAGCTGAACATTTAATCCCATTTATATACCAACAGAATAAGTTAACATTCATTTACAATAGCAATCGTGTGTACAGTGTGATAAATTGATTATTCATTGCAGCCATTGCAGTGTAGACAATCTCTCTGCGGGATCTGTTCTGTGAAAAGAAAAGAAAATATTTATCACCTTACTTGTGGGACACTTTGTGCAGACATGATTTATTTACTGTATATATGCCTAGTTACAGATACCTTGTGATAGACGGCCTATTTTCTCTCTAAATATTTTTTTTAATTGGGATTTTCTTTCCAGCGTTAAGGAGGAGCACAATACTTCCCTTTAGTCAAGAACTTTTGTCAGTGTGTTAAGGATTACAGTGACATGTTATCATAGCTCTAATAAAGAAACAATATAGATGGCATGCTTCCCTGACACGTACAGTTGTAAAGATAAAATGCCTGCACACTGGGCTAGCATAACAGATGACGGTACAGCTATAGAGGTCTTGAGAAAACACTGCTTCTTACCCTTGTAAGACCTAGCCTCTATTTTTCTAACACTTTATTTAATGTAACAATGAAAAGTTCAATGTACATACACTTGCATTGTTTGGACATACAATGAATGTGTTAGTCTTACTACTGAAAGGCTTTTAACGGATGTTTCTTTTGTTTTTGTATTCGTTTGGTTTATTATCTGTAACATACAACTTTTCATTTTCTCTCAGTCTGTGTTCTTATGGTTTCAAAAGAAAATGTCAGCATTACCTGTGGTGTGGAAAAATATCTCCAAGGGCCTCTTGAAAACTAAAGGTGGCCATACATGAATCGAAAATTTTGCCAGTTCAGCAGGAACCAGATGAATTTTGATCTATGTATGGGCAGACTGGGTATACGGAAGACGTTCTACAATTGACTTCTCTACAACCAGCCTGTCAGGTTTTTCCCGAACAATCAGTGCTATCGTCTATAGTCAGCAACACTGATCAACATGTTCTGATGGCGGGGAAGGCTCCCGGCAACAGGAACTATTCCCCTATCCACACATTTGGGTCATTTTTTTTTTTTTTTTTTTAATTTTGTTTAACGCGCGCTGGTTGAACAAAAAAATTATTAATGTATGGCCTGAATAAGGCTCCCTCTACTCACAAATATTCATACAGCATAAGCTTTTCTCATCTGTGCAAAAGGTTTAGGCAGTTATGTAGAAATGCTTTAAAGTAAGAATAATTTTAAAAATATACAGTATATTTTACTTGTTTATTTTCATCAACTTAAAAAATGCAAAGTGAATGAACAGAAGAAAAATCTAAATCAAATCACATTTGAAGTGTCTACCCTTTGGCTTAAAACCAGCATCAGTTCTTACACTTGCACACTTGCACAAAGTCAAGGATTTTGTAGAATTAGAGTCAGATGT